TGGGGGCTGCTTGTCAGAGGATCTACTTTTATGCAGTTCTTTGTGAGGGAGAAAGATGTATGTTATGCCTTTCATTCCATGCTACAAAGCACTAACTTGAATGATCTAGTTGTATGGCCCAGTAGTGCATCTTGACATCTGGTCTAAAGAAACAGAGAAAAAAGTGAAGCAAAAAAACCAAAGGTGAAAGAAAAAGAAAGAAAAGGCTAAAATGCGTATTGGGAATAAGAAAAAAGAATGAAAGAACAAAAGACCAGAATTACTTCAAATTATAAAGGATATTAAAGATTAATATAGTTTGATGTCAGATGATTTCAGTGCTCTCCTACTGTCTTAAAATAGGGTGTTTAATTTTGTTTGCTGAACTTAACACAAGGCTTTGGTCAAAAAGCTCAGGTTTTGGTGAATGGGTTGCTTTGTAACGTTAAAAACTGGTATTTGTGAGCATAAAATACTTTTACTAGGAAAAGACTTCTTAAGCAGAGTTTCTGAACAGCATGTTTTATTATTGGAATTTTGAGAATAAAAAGCACTCTCAAGAGCTATGGAACATCACCATTTGCAAGTTGGAGGTGTCTTTGCCTTGTAAACTGGCTCCTTCTTCTGTTTGCCAGTGATCAAATCAGCGTGTGTCACTCACAAAGCCCGTGCATGCTCAGGTTGTGCTTACCTTGTTTATTATCAGTGGGTGTATTCCCCCACTCTCAGATTCAGTATGGAAGGCGTGATGAAGTGGAGCAATAACTGTGCAATTTTTTTTGGATACGTATAATTCAAATGTGCATTCCCTGTTTAAATTGTGGTAAAGATTGATGATTTGAAGAGCGCTGCACATGTATCAATTGGTAACATTCAGTTGAGAGCAATTTAGCAGTTACCTGCTGTTACCTGCTAACCTGTTCTCTGGTTTGTCTTATTTTTTATGCTTATATTTAATATTTGTCATTCCTCTGCAGAGTTGCAAGTGCACAGGCTATTGTTCTTCTCCGTTGATGTTACTGAAGGTAGCGACATTTTTCAGTGGTTTGATAATGGTCTGCAGTATTTATCCTTGTTTATGTCAAAGGTGTCATAGGATCTTTAATTTTTACAGCTTTCTTCATTTATTCAAAATGCTTGGCTCCCAAGAATAGTGTTATAAACAAGACAGATATTAAATACTCAGTCAATTTTCATTACACTCCATTTTTTTTCCTGGGTCTCATGAAATGTAAAGTGATTTAACACAAAATCTACTTTCTTCACAAACATTCATCACTTTAAAATCCCACATATGTATCCCACACAGGTTTCTCGGAGAGTTAACCACATCTCCTTCCTTCTAGGATCGCCCGGCCATGCAGTTATACCAGCCAGGAGTTCGCATTCGAACACATACGGGATCTACAAGTAAAACCTATGACTGCAGTGGGAAATCCTTTGAAGATGCTCTTGATAAAAAGTATGAGGCAGATAATTCAGCTGGAGGTGGTTCTGAGAAGAGCGAAGAAGCAGAATAAAACAAACTGGAGGAAAGACTTGTGAAAAGGGATGAACTTAAGAATCAGTGTCATCACAAAAAATCCATAGGGCTGTTTCAGGACTCCACAGGTGATTGCACCACCAAAATTACAATAGCTCTGCCTCTTACTTTTGGTAAAATAAAGGGAAGAGTGACTGGAGACATGGAAAGTATCTTACAGCAAAGGAAAATCATTGCTTTTTTACAAAAAGCAGAGGAAGCGCTATTTGCCTAATTTAAAAGCAGTTCAGTATTTTGAATAGTTTTACCTTGAAATAGAAAACCTCTAATAGTTTTAAAGGAGTATTTATATAAGACTTTTCAGAAGCTATTAAACCTTTTCAAGTCTAAGGGAATGAAATGTAGGTCTGCATCGGTTTGAAGTCTGAGGCACTTTAAATGTGTTTGGTGCATGACATGAGGGTCACAGGACCCCTTCCTGCCAGCGGCAGCGGCAGCGGCAGGGGCAGGGGCTGCTGCAGGGAGTTGCGGTCGGGCTGGGTGGGACCGGTCCTGGGAGGAAGCTCTGGAGCCAGTAGCGTTTGCAGGATGAGGCCCACAGTTTGCACAGTTGTGAGAAACGTCCGTTGGTATCTGTACCTCATTGTGTTTACGTTGTTTTTTCAATTAACTATAGCGTCAGATAAGTGTTAGTAAAGCTACAAGTATGTTGTTTGAGAGTTTGTCATTTTCTGAGCCACTTCTGCCTTTTTAGTTTTAATAGATTCTTGTGCTTAAAACAGAAGAAAGCTAACGCAAACCTCAGCACTTAAACAATTTATCTGGTTTTAATACATTGGTTGTTTTTTATGTTTTTGACACTGACTTTTTAAAAACAAAGTGGTTGTACAGTGATGACTTTTTATATGCTAATGTTTCATATGAGTTGCAGTTGCAGGATGTGGAAAATGTATGATACACGAACGTTCTGCAGTTCTATTTGTTAAAAAAAAATAAACACACATGAATGTCAATTGCGAACTACCATTTTGTAAGATCTAGGCTGAATTCTGCCCTCTGATGCAGGCACATATATCTATAAAAGTGTGTATATATATATATATATCTTCCATTGGTTTCAATGATAGCTGCGTGTTTACAGAAGGGCAGAACACGTTCATTTATCTTTCATGGCTGAAAATGTCTCAGTGGTCTGAAACTGAGACCTGCTTTGTCATTGACATTAAATAGTAAGATATTAATTTATTTTTACATCCTCTTTGAACATTTTATTATTAAGCATAACATCTAATTGTTCCAGACTGAAAAATTATTTATTGTATTTTCCAGATATTAAGCATTAAATAGAATAAAAGCAAAAAGATTTTGATTATGATTTTGAGGCGTGATCTTCTGTAATTTTTTCATCTGCTGCTCTAGAAAAATTAAGTAAGATGCTGTATACTTGGTATTCTTCAGAAGTAGATAGCAATACAGTTCGGAAGAATTTTGATATCAAGCTACGTAAGCGAGCTGCCAACTAAAATTACTTCAAGCTTCAGTAAAACTGCTGTTAGAGAATCATTTGGTTTTAGCTCCATCTAAATTTATCTTGTTTGCCAAGTTTATCCTGGCTGCAGAGAAAGGATTTTGTCTGGGCATCCTGGCTGAGCCAGGCAGTGTTAGCATGGGACAGGCTTTTCCCTCAGTGAAAGAGGGGACCTGGCTTGGTCCAAGGAGAAGGAGATTTGCCAGGAAAGTTCTCCTGCAGTAGAGCCGGACAGGCCCGAAATCTTCACCAGATGAGGGTCTGCCCAAAAGCATGTATTTCCCCCCTGTTTGGAAGCCCAGGGGACGCTGGAAGAGAGACCCCCAGACCCAAAAAAGCAGCGATTTTGCACATGCTCATGAACTTGAACTTGATACCTTGCAGGCAATGGTGGCTTTCAGGTTACTCCCCATCTTTGCCCGACTGTCCAGGTTATGAGTAAGCACCTCTTGATAGCATTATAGGTAATTAACTCAGCACAGTTTTTTTAGCAGTAATTTTCCGTTTAGGGCTTCTTATTTTCCATCTCTTTTAGTTACCAGAGACTGGATGTCAAACCTCGACGCAGGAAAAACTGTCAGGGTTTAAACATCCATGTCCGTCAGGTCAAGCTGCCGTGCCCTCGCTGACCAGGGTTCCTGCAGCCCCTTTGTTCACTTATTTTTGCTCCCTTGTGACTGCAGCCTCCTGCACGGCGGGCAGAGAGCCTGGCCTTTGACTTATGTATTCACATGGAAGGAATATTCAGGACATTCGGATTCGGATGTGGAGAGCGCACTAGTCAGCGCCTGCACTGCAGCTGCATCCCGAAGAGACCTGACGGCTCAAGGAACTCTTGGGACAACCTCTGTTATTCAGCAGGTACCCACATCTGTTCCTCTCACATCTGAGGGGGGCAGTGGAAGGTACCAGCCTCCACCAGCAGGATCTGAGCATTTCTTTAGCCGTGCAACACCTGCCAGGACAAGCTCAGGAGAGACAGGAGCAGAAAGGCACCTCGGCAGCACCGGGAGCACCAGGAGCCCCGGGCGTGAGGGACTGCTGCCTGCAGGCTCTCTGCTAAAAGTGTGACCTCGAGGAGATGAGAAATGCCTCCTGCCGGCAGAGACAATGCCGCTGCTGAGCTTCCCCTCTCTGTGCTGATGGCCATCTCGGGCAGTGCCAGCAGGACGGCTCAGTGCCTGCGGGAGCAGGGATGGGATTTGGGATGGGGGCTTGTACAGCCGTACCTGTAGGGAAGACTGCACCCCTCACCTGACTGGAACTCGGGGAGCACTGGCCCCTGGAAGTGAGCATGTACCTCATGGTAACACTGCAAAATACAGTGGCCAAAGAAGCAAAATCCATTTCCAAGTCCGTACCTCAATCTCTCCTGCACGGGGATGCAGCAGGGCCTGAGCCTGCTCCCCTCACCGGGGCGGCCAGGCAGGAGGAGCTGCTGCCCACTCCGTGCTCGCTGCTTCTTCTACGCTTCTCCCCATGACACCAAATAAACACCCGTCTTTGTCCAAACGCAGCGTGGCGTGAGAGCTTCATTGCCACAATAGTAACTTTGTTTTGCAAATTCAGCTTTGCTGAAAGCAGATGCAGCATCCCTGCGGAACGGGAATTGTGTCTGGTTACATCACAGTTGTCTTCAGTGCCATCTGTTTTCTCGTTTTTAAAATATAATACTCTAAATTCAATAAAAAACTTCACCAGCTTGATAGCTTCCCTGAATGCCTGCTGCCCTGTTTCTTACTGAGTCCTGAGGTCATCCACTTTTTGCAATATGGAAATCCCCCTGTCCGTCAAGCTGGAATTGGGCTCCAGTCTGTCACGAACGATTGTGTTAGAGAAAACTGATGTGGAACATAAATATTCAGTAAAAAAACCTGCATTCGTGCCAGTTGCTGTTTTAAAGAGAAGCTCATTCAACTCCGAAACATCATTCTGACAACTTCACATGCAATTTTCTAAACAAATTCTGCTGCTTCTTTGCATTTAAAATTGAATGTCTGTAAGTTGTTTTCAGAGAGTCTGTGGAGGTCTGTGGCTCATCTCCCCGGCCGTGGCCGTGGTGAGGCAGCACTGCTCTTCCTGCTGCCGGCAGTTCCTCTGCTGGCCTCTATTTCCAGCATTAATCCTGAATGGCCCAAAGGTGTGAATTGTTAACATGGCAAAACCTGCCATCTATGTAAAAAATTGTATTGAACTTCAAAACAAAGCATGCTTTAAAAGGAAAAAAACCCAACCCTGTAATTTAGTACTCCCCCCGCCCCAGCCTGATGTAATTTATAATGTTAGAAATCAGCTGGAAATGTGACTAGCAAGTTGGTGGTGCTGTCTGAGTCTTAAATGATGAGAGGAGAAACTTAAAATTCTCCAGTTATTATTATTTATTATTTATAACTGTTTCCTTTGACAGAAAGAATACGTGAAGCAAATAGCAAACCTTTTGAGCCTTATCTGATCAATTCCAAGTGACTTAAAAGAATGTGCTCTGTCTTCTCTGCATCCGCTTGGGCTTTTCACTGAAGTTCATTGGCGTCTTGAAGACTGAAAACGTCATCATCTTCTTACCAAGAGCTGGTTTATCTCTTAACAGTTTTACTCTCTCCCAAACCTCTTCATGGCTGCATAACTAAAAAATAAATGTATTCCAGATCTTTTTTGTTGTTTACACTTCATTAGGCCACATCCTGTTCTCGCTGAACACATTCCATTTGCATATCTCACCTACAAATATGTAAATACTATCAGAGGCTCATTACTGTTACATATATAAATATGGTATTTTGATTCAAATGGACACAAACACAGAAGACATGGGACTGCAGTTGTGAATGCAGTGTTTTTTGCCCAATTCCAGCTAGCAGTCTTGATTAGAAAAATGAAATATTGTCCCAAAGGGTAAAGACTAACTTCAGCCGGGATTTTAATTGCTGGTACAAAAATGGCATATTGACTCATGGTCGATCCATAATTCCCTCCCAGCATGTGCAAAAGGCAGGAGATACAAAAAGATGAAGAAGTGGGAAGCGCTTTCTTTTTGCTCTTCAAAAATGTTTACATGTTTTAAAGTGAAATACAAATATTCTGCATAAAACCTGCAGGAATTTTCATTTCTTTTTAATCAGGATCTCAGTTTCCAGCTCTTGTGAACAGAGAGAAAAGCAACTCTAGAACAATCCAGCTGGCCAGAGAGAGGGTTTGGATTATCCACCTCAGGAAGGACCTGATGTGTTGCTACCGATCTGTGCCCAGGTCTGTCCTGTGATGGTTTCCATCTCTGGTTACTGCAGAAATGAAGATGGTTCTACTGAATGAGACTGATGTGAAGTCCCATCTCACATCGTATCTGAACAGTGAATTTGAATACGAGCACTGATATCTGACATTACCTGCTGGAACTTCTTGCATGTGTTTGACAGCTGTTGAAGGTCACCAGCATCTAGAAATGACAGTATGTGTATAATTATGCTCTCGGGCATTCGAATGAGAAAATCATAATGCCCCTGACATAAATTAATGGTGTACTCCAGCGTGCTGTTGCCAAAAACGTTCTTCACCAGCTCTGTGGTACAAGAAAAGGACAGAGAAGAATAAACACAAAATAATCCTCACAGAACATGATTATTTTAAAGCATGATCATGAATGCAATCAAATTGGGTTAGGAACATGTCAACACTTTGGTGCTAGGAGGAAAGAGGTTGGGAGAGGCTGGCACTCAAGAGGAGACAATAGATTGGGTCATTGCTCTATACGTTGGTGAGAAAGAGGAAGGATGAGCTGACGACAGACTGGATGCTGGCTGCACCTGGAATTGCAGAGAGGTTGGGGATGACACCCATGGTTCAAAATTTGTCTGAAGCATTGACATAGAGGCTGGTGGGGTGGAGCACCCACCAGCCTGGTCCTGCTGGGGGCCCCGCAGCCCCCATACACATTAACCAGGCAGACCTGTGACAGCCTTCCAGCAGCAAAGGGGCTGCAGCTTCCACAGCCCTTTTTAGTGGTGTAAAGGGAGAGAGGAAGGCATTGTGGTTCAAAGTGCTTCCCTTTCACAGAGCAGAAGAGAACAGAAAGGAGACGTGAAGATACACTGGGTGCTGCACATCCTCCTCTTGCAGGCTGACAGCCTACAGAAGTTCCCACTCCCCCAGCTGGTGCCAGGTCCTTGTTCTGCCTCTGGGCCCAGCGCACAATAGGCTCTGCAGGGTCAACGTTTGAACATGCTGCCCCTGAACAAGCCATTCGCACAGACCCACAGGTGTTTTCCTTGCCTTTCTAGACCTTTTTCTGGACATAACCACAGGGCAAACGCCCTGCTGCTGAGGGAGAGAGGATCTGTCAGGGCTCCGTGTGTACCAAAAGGCTCCACAAACCCCTCCCGCCCTGCTCCGAGGGGTATGGACAGCTGTGCGTTTCCTGGCCTGACCTCATAGAATAGAATGACAGAATCATTCAGGTTGGAAAAGACCTTTAAGATCATCCAGTCCAACCATTAGCCCAGCACTGCCAAGTTACCACTAAACCATGTCCCTCAGCACCACATCTACCTGTCTTTTAAATACT